TCTTGCATCTCTTTTAAACTCTCTTCCCAAGTGTGTCTAATGAAGGGAATCAGGGCCCTTTCCTCCCCCGTAAGCCATGCAACCCATGTTGCTCTTTTCTCTGTTCCTCCCTGTGTGCCCTAGGATGAAGAGAGAGTGGGCCTGGGTCTTCCTCTGAACTCCCTCTCCCTTGTTCTACCTCTCGCCTGCTCTGCCCAACCAGACTTTGCCCTTCCCCAGTTTCCTCTACAGCCAACAGAGCCACACTCACACTCCCTATCATCTGTTCGTCTTCCTCCTCAGATTCACACTCTGACAGGGGCATGACAAGATGTATGCAGCTGAGGTAATCCCAACCAACTTCTTCTCCGGTCTCTTTCTTCTCCTTCCTTCAGCCATCCCAAGAAAAATAATCATTCTGCCATGCTAGGAAAAGGTCAAATGAATTTTGCCATGATGGAATCTTTTTGAGTTGGTCATGGCTCCCGGTAAGATAAGTCCCTGCGGTTTTCTTGGAAAGATTTTGGAAGTGGCTTGCCCTTGCCTTCTTTCCAGGGCTGAGAGAAGGTGACTGGCTCAAAGTCAACCAGCTGACTTCCTTAAGCTAAGTTTTGACTAGAATTCAGGTTTCCCCACTCTTAGTCAAACACCTTAATTGCTATACCAAACTATTATTTTGCCATTAGGATACGAAAACTCACACAATAGAATACTGCCCAAACCAGGTTGGTATAATTGTGAAACATTTGTCAGTGATTCTCTTAACCTAGAGCCATGATGGTGAACCTATGGCACGCATGCCAAAGTGGCACACAGAGCCCTCTCTGGGGGCACGTGAGCCGTTGCCCCAACTGAGTTCCACCACACATGTGTGCATGCCTCCTGCCAGCCAGCTGGTTTTCGGGTCTCTGTCATGCAGGTGCAAGGGGCGGGGTGCATGAAGGAGATGTGTGCGCAGGGGTGGGGGGAGTATGGGGGAAGGTCGCATATGTACGCCGCACCTCCCTGTGCCCCGTTTTTACTCCCAGGAGGCTGCAGGGAGTTGTACTAGGCCCAAAACTGGATGTAGGAGGTTGCCGCACGCCTCCCCCATGCCCCGTTTTGCTCCCAGGAGGCTGCAGGGAGGCCTACTAGGCCCAAAACGGGGCACAAATGCACGGGGAGCAGGGGGTCATGCATGCATGCACAGGGGGCAGGGCGAGTGGGAGGGGGTCATGCATGCACTGCATTATGTGAGCAGACACGTGCTGTCATTCGCATACGTGCACTTTCGGCACACAATGACAAAAAGGTTAGCTATCACTGACCTAGAGCCTTTGGCAGATAATAACTGCATAATTAAAGAGACCCTTAAGCATCTTGACAGGATATGGGGTTAAGACACCGCCATCTGCTGGTATGTAAAAGCATTGTTTGATGCCCAGCGTGAATGTGAATCACAGAGGCATCATTGATAGGAATAGGTACAACACCCCCCTCGGCTTATCTTTTAAGGCCAATTAGGATTCCCTCTTGGATAAGCTTTTCAAGAAGCAACCTTTTCAGAGGGTAATGGAGGTGGCTAACTTTAAATCAGGACCACTGACAGTTCTAGATTGCTGTTCTCAGTATATTCATCATCAGTAGTAATACTGATATGTAAACTGGGTTTATTAAAATTAAGAATATGATACAATCTGCCTTGTTCCCATTCAATTTAGAAGTGCTAGAAAATCCAGCACTGGGAGAGTTCAAAGACTGTTAAGGTAGATTTCTGCTTTCCTCCTCCTCTTTTTCTTTCTTTGAAGTAATATAATAATTCTATACTGATCAAAATTAGGTATTTATATTTCCGGTCCATTCCATCTGCTAGCACATTTACAAGTTGTGACCTGCACCCTTGCTGCATCTTTGATGTCTGTGATTAATTAGTGAAGCAAATACAAATGTACTCAAAACATCATTATGTACGTAGCATAACACCGAGCTGCTTCCTGTTTACGAAATTAATGCACCGTCAGCTAAGCTATGGTCTGAGATCAGAGTTCCTTCCATGGTTAACAAAAATAAATCTCAAGATGATGCATACATGTGTTGAAATTTTATTTCAACTTATTTGTAGATAGGAAGTATCAAATTAAGGTTTAAATTGGATTCACAGTTAGTCATACTAAAGTGTAAATTGGTTGAAGTAATGAAACAACTTAGTCAGTAATTGTACTCAAATTCCAATCTTGCATTGCTGTTACTATCTCCAAGGCTGCCTTTGATTCCACCATAATGGCAATGCCTCATTGAAGAGGCCACCTGTGTGTGTGTGTGTGTGTGTGTGTGTGTGTGTGTGTGTGTGTGTCAAAAAAGGGGAGCCAAGCAACCCACCCTCCTATCCTCACTTACATTCTTCCTTTGTTGGGCTTGCTTTCTGCTGCCCAAAACTGAATTTATTGCAGCAATGAATTGAATCCTAAATATATGTTGGCATAGTCCAATGTAATGCTATAAATGTACAGCTAGTATTTGACAAAATTATACATAGAACAACCAATGGCGCTCACAATTGTATACAATGGCACAAACTGTTTGAATCTTTGGTAACCCTTGTCAAGGCTATGGTTTTCCCAGTTGCAATGTATGACTGTGAACGTTGGATCATAAGAAAGGCTGAGTGCCAAAGAATTGAGGCCTTTGAACTATGGTGTTGGAGAAGACTCCTGCGAGTCCCTTGGACTGCAAGGAGATCAAACCGGTCAGTCCTAGAAGAGATCAATCCTGACTGCTCTTTAGAAGGCCAGATCCTGAAGATGAAACTCAAATACTTTGACCACCTAGTGAGAAGGAAGGACTCACTGGAGAAGAGTCTAATGCTGGGAAAGACTGAGAGCAATAGGAGAAGGGAACAACAGAGAATGAGGTGGCTGGATGGAGTCACTGAAGCAGTAGGTGTGAACTTAAATGGACTCCAGAAGATGGTAGAGGACAGGAAGGCCTGGAGGAACATTGTCCATGGGGTCACGATGGGTCGACATGACCTCACAACTAACAACAACAAAACAAATATGGTGGCAAGGCTTCTATCTAAGGCTGTTGTGCACTTCAAGTAAGATTGACGGTGTGTTCAAGTCATTAGTTTTCTGTAATACTTCGATTTTGCATCACATCACGTGCATGCTTTAGGATCTAAGAGATTCTGGATCTTCTTCTGATACTCTTATGTCTTCATAATAACTTTAGTGTTTCCCTTATCTGCTGGCAGAATAATGAGCAACTAATTCATACAGGGAGTCCTCAACTTATGTCCACAGTTGGTACCAGAATTTCCATTGCTAAGCGATGCAGCTGGAAAGTATGACTGCATCGCTTGTCAACAGCAATTCCAGCACGCCCCATAGTTGAGGACCCACCCCAATCTAAACTATTCCAGATTTAGTCACTCGCAGTGTTGGTAAGATAAGGTACTGCCTCCTCTTCAACTGCCCTCTTTGCCCTTTTGGTTGCTCTGCATGCTGTCTTGTGGGAAGGCAAGCAAACCAGAACCACATAACTCTGCAGTTGCTTGCCACACTGTGGTTTGGGGGGCTCTTGGTGCACCATCCCAGCAGCACAGTGCGAAGCTACTGTGGAAGCCCCAGCAGTGCATTGCAAAGCTCCAGCTCAGCAGCATGATGCAAAACCACAGCCACCCCCCAATAGTGTGGTGCAAAAGTCACAGCCCAGCAGTGTAGTGTGAAGTGACAGTTGTCCTCACTGCCTGCACTTCACCACTCCAACTGACCTTCGTCATCTTCTTGCTCCCACTGCTGATGAGGTGTGCCCATCCTCTTTGCGAGGGAACTGCTGCCCACATGACACCATCTGACTCCTGAAGGGCCAGGTCAGGTATGTTTGGTCAGCAGCGGAAGCAGGAAGATGGCAGAATTCAGCTGGGGTGGCAGGGCCTGCTGGGGACAGGGGACCTAGATGGGAAGGGCAGACCAGCAAGTGTAGGGAGTGGAAATGTCCCTGTGGTCATTGGAGGGGGTGGGCTGTCAATCAAATTTTGATCATGTGATGACAGGGTTGCTGCAGCAGCCATACCTTGAAGGACCATTTGTCAGTCTCTTTGTTCAGCACCACTGTAACTTCAAATGGTCAGAGTGAATGGTCATAAGTCAGGACTACCTGTAATCACTGTGTATGTCTGTAGAAATTATCAGGTCATCCAGGTCATGGTTGTCTCAAAGGTGCTTTTTGAGGAAGCGCATGGATTTTCTTGTTTTTATTTTGAAGACGTCTTGCTTCTCATCCAAGAAGCTTCTTCAGTTCTTCCATTCCCCACTATCCTGTTAGAGCTGAAGAAGCTTCTTGGATGAGAAGCAAAACGTCTTCAACACCCCCCCCACCCCCAGTTGCCTCTTGAAAAAGTACCTTTGGGACAATCACTGTGTATAGTTTGAGGTCTACTTGACCGTTTCCTTTTTAATAATGTAAAACAATGTTAAAGAAAAGGGAGGGATTGAGTTTTACCACACCTACTTATATAACCTATATTGGGGAAGAACCCTGCTTCCATCCATCTGCCAGTTATTACCTTAAAGGCATACATTATCCTTTAGTCTGTGCCTCAGATCCACCTTCTGGCACCACGATTTGCAGTTCAGTCCCTGCAAACTCTGATGATGGTGTTAGAAGAGCCACAGATCAGATTGCTCCAGATTGATGGTGCATCGTTGTTTTTTATTTATTTATTTAGATAATTTATATGGTCACCCACTCATTTCCAGTCACTCTAGTCTAGGCGATTTACAAAAAAGACTCCTCGGAGACAGCCCGATCCTATGCTAACTTATTCCGATGCAAGCCCTCCCCACGTTCATTGCTTCTGCTGTTCACCCTTCCTTTTTTTTGTGGCCCGCTACTTTAGCTCTCCAACTGTTTGCACCTCGTAGTCGTCCGGATTCTTTTTTCTTTTTGAAGCCCTGGCTGCAAAAAACCTGCGTCTGTTGAAACAACCCCGGAACCTCTCCTGCTGCTGCTCCGTTCCTAGTCGGAACGAAACCCAAGCGGCCCCTAACATGGCGGCGCCCATGAGCGCGCGCTGGAAGGTTCTCGCAGACGCCGAGTCCCCGGTTTTGCCAGGCGGGGCGGCTCCGTACGGAAATTTCCCCAACTATTCCTGCTTCCACCCGCCCGAGGAACGCGTCTCCCTCTTACCTGCGACTCTTTTGAGTGAGCTGTTCCCAAGCCCGCGTGCGGGTCCCCTTTTGGGCCTGGATGTTGGATGCAATTCGGGGGTAAGAACGAGACGGGAGGGGAGGTCTCGGTATCTTTGCACATACTGCAGCTGTTTCCCCGTTGGTTTCTTTTCGCTTGCAAATGGGCAATCCGCTCTTGCGTACATGATCAATTATTTTCATATTACTCCGGTCATTGTTGATCTTGGTATCAGTCTCTCGGAGTCCAGCGAACCCAACTTGCAAAGTCTATCTGGCATATCCAGGGTTAGGGTATTTTTTGTAGATCGGGTTTTTCCCCATTCTGGTATGTTCCAAATGTGTTGGGCCGGCTCATCAATTCCCCAGCAATAATTGGCAAAGACGAGGGGTGGTTTGACATAGTTCAGCCACATTTATAAGTCCATAGGTGGCTCACTTAAAAAATAAAAACCTTAAGAAATAGGATGCTTATATAGACAGTCTGATTTAGACCTATATAGACAGCTGCTTATATAGACAGTTGGATTTCCTTTATGGGGTTAGCCAGTTAGCCTGGATGGACTCAGCCAGTGTCCTGTTGAATCTGAGTTGCTGGTGCCATGAACTATGCTTTGGCTGAGCTTTGTTTAGGATCATAGAGGGGTAACTACAGGCTGAGTGGCTAAGACACTGTGCTTGTCGATCAGAAAGGTCAGCAGTTTGGCAGTTCAAATCCCTAGCACTGCGTAACTGAGTGAGTTCCTGTTACTTGTCCCAGCTTCTGCCAACCTAGCCAGAGATGGTATTCAGCAGGTTCTGACCAGTTCTGGAGAACTGGTAGCAGAAATTTTGAGTAGTTCAGAGAAGCGGCAAATACCACTTCTGGCTGGAGATTTTACAGTATCCTTCGCCTGCCACACCCACAGAACCGGTAGTAAAAAAATGTGAATCCCACCACTGAACCTAGCAGTTTGAAAGCATGTAAAAAATGCAAGTAGAAAAATAGGGACCACTTTGGTGGAGAGGTAACAGCGTTCCGTGCACCTTTGGTGTTTAGTCATGCCAGCCACATGACCACAGAGGCGTCTTCCGACAGTGCTGGCTCTTCAGCTTAGAAACGGAGGTGAGCACTGCCCCCTAGAGCTGGAATCGACCAGCATGTATGTGCAAGGGGAATATTTACCTCTTAGGGGTGGGTAACTAGGAAAATGTTGGAGCAAAAGTTGAGAAATTTCTCTTTCCTCTCCTTAGGAACTCAGTGTTGCACTCTATAGGCACCTCTTTGGCTTTAACCATACCAACCTGGAACATTCTGTGGATGGAATGGATTTCCACCTCCTCTGCTGTGACATTGATGCAGACCTGATTGAGAGAGCCAAACAATGCAGCCCTTTCCCTGGTTCCATTTCCTACACCACTCTCGACATCATGGATCCCAGTGCAAGAGAAACTCTGCTGACTTCCTACCTGAACAAGTTTGGCCGCTGTTGGTTTGATATTTGCTTCTGCATGTCTATAACTATGTGGATCCATCTGAATCACGGGGACAGTGGTCTGGTGAAATTCTTATCTTTCCTTGCAACTAAATGTATGTATTTACTTCTTGAACCCCAGCCATGGAAATGCTACCGTGCGGCTGCTCGGCGCCTGAGGAAGTTGGGCCGGAATGATTTTGACCATTTCCATTCGCTCACCATCAAAGGGAACATGGCTGAGAAGATAACTCAGATCTTGACAAGAGACTGTGCCATGGAGTTTGTGTGTTGCTTTGGAAGCACGAGTTGGGACAGGAGCCTCTTGCTGTTTAAATCAAAAGAGAAAAAACACTTGGGATAATTCAGGATTTGTATATTCTTGTTGAAGGGGCACAATGGCTCGATGATGATAATGACATTAATGGTGTAATGGCTCGTTGAGGAGGTGTGATGGTAACTGGGTTCCATGCACCTTTGGCACATAGCCATACTGGCCATATGACTACAGAAAATGTCTTTGGACAATGCTGGCTCTATTTCTCAGTCAAGAAATAGAGATTACAGCCCCTAGATTTGGACACAACTGGACAGGAATACTTTTAACCTACATTCTGGCATTTAGTCAAAGGGAAAATGGCAGGTTATTGGGAGAACCAACTCTTTTGCCATGCTGTGATAGAAGTGTAAGAATAACATGAGGTCTTGAAAATCATACATTTTAATATCAGAAATTATTTTCCAAATTTACCAATATATCTTGACTCTTGGAGTAGTCTCAAAATTTTGGAGACAGATCCTGCACAGAGAATTCCCACTAGATGGGAACAAAGTGTAAGTTTTTGGTCCTCTAGCAACAGGAAAATAGATAATGCTTGGTTTCTGTATCTCACAATTTTAATGATTCTTTTCTCATCATAGAAATTTAATTTCTGTTACTTCTGAAATAAAGCCTCATATCATTTTTGGCTTTTTCTTTTGGCTCTATACTGGCACTGTATTCCTTGATAAAATTTATATTTTGACAATATAAATGGTAAAGCTTTTTAGGGAGAACTGTTGAGGCATGCTCAAGCCCTTCAGAACTGGGGTTGAATGCCATTAAATTACATATGATAAAACTTCCCTTCCTCCCCGGGTACCAAGGCGCATGATAGAATGAACGAATTTCAGTGTGTCAAACCAGATTCACACAATTCTTTGGTGATATCCCACACTCAGCTTTCATTTGCTTTCTTTTCAAAGCAACACAGAAGTGTGAAGTGGCAGGAACCACAGGAAGAGCCTGCTTAATCCCTCAGAATAATTTTATACAGGGAAATACTCTTGAGCAGAAAAAAATATTCACATAATTCTCCTGTTGAGCCTTCCACACAAACATCTCCCCCTTTGAATGATTTTGAAATACAGTAAGCAAATTCAAAACATGCAATGATAGATTATGCATAGCTGGGTATTCTTGCACCACTGTGAATAGCTAGGGGAGTACCAAAGGTACTTTTCAAAAAGCAACTGGACTTTCTTAGTTTTTTTTTTCCCTTGAAAAACATTTTGCTTCTCACCCAAGAAGCTTCTCCAGTTGAGTTTCAGAACTGAATAACTATGACCTTGATGATCGAGTCTCTCCATTGATAGGCTAGGGGAGTAAAACCAGTGAAATGATTATATTGCTATAATCCTCGTTGCTATGTTTTATGTGTTTGCAGTCTGGAGGGGTCCTTCTGGATTCATGACTCCTGCTTGAAAATAGGTGGCTATTGTGGCTAGGAGGGTCTTAGCTCAACTTTGTAATGTATTAACAGTTGCACCCATTTCTGGATCGGGAGGCTGTACTCTCAGTTACTCATGCTGTGGTCACCTCCCAAATGGACTATACACTCTACATGGATGGGGCTCTCCTTGAAGAGTGTCCAAAAGCTTCAACTGGTATAAAATCTGGAGTGGGAAGTTATGTATGCTCCTAAAACTATGCATGTTAAACCTCTGTTCTGTGAGTTGCACTAGTTGCCAGTTTACTTCTAGATTCAGTGTGTTGGTTTTAACCCTTAAAAGTCCTAGATAGCATGAGGCTGGGTTATTGGAGGGATTACTTCTCCTTGTCCCATCAGGACTAATAGGAGGAGCTTATCGGGCAATAAAAGAGATGGCAGGAGAGTTGCATAAGATTCTGTTAACAATAAAACCGATTTAGCTTATCTGACTGTGTTTCAGATCTTAACTACCTGGAAAGGCTGACAGCAAGTTTGAGGAGCCCATCTAAATAGGGAGCCTCTGAAATGGCTACACAGGCAGTCCTTGCTCAACAACTGCCCTGTTTAGAGACCATTTGAAGTTATGACAGTGCTGAAAAAGAATTTTACAAATGGCCGACCACAGGTTGGAAATCCATCATAGTCCTGTGATGTTTCACTTAATCATGTTGCTTAGCAATGGAATTGCCAGTCCAGATTGTGGTGGTTAAGCAAGAACTACCTGTATTACATGAACTGAAGGCACTCTTCTGTTGTTTCAGTTACATTTTAATTGTTTAATGATTTTTAAAGTTTTATTTTTAATTGCTCTATTTTTATTGTATGCCACCGTGAGTTACATTCATAAGATGGATGGCTATATCAATTTGATAAATAACTACATATAAAACAGATTGAAGGAATAAAACTAAGAGCTTTATTATTTGGCTGACATAAAAAAACCAGCTATGATAGCAACATCACTGTCCCCATTCATTCTGTTTTTGCTTTTGGATTGGGTCACACTTCCCCAGGCAGAACTGGCAGACAATTTGGGATCTTCTTGGACACACAGTGCCTGCTTGAACTGTTGGCAGCCACGGCCAAGAGGTCCTTTCTGCAATGCCATCGAATGCACCAGATGCACTAATCCTGGATTGGGAGGCTCTGCTTCACCATCACTTGCTGCCTGGACAATTGCAATGTGCTCTACATGGTGCTGCCCTTGAAGACCATACAGTGTTCCAGTTGGTCCAAATGCAGTGCTATGGGTAGTAATATTGAGCCTCGGTGGCGCAGTGGTTAGAATGCTGTACTACAAGCTACTCCTGCAGTTTGGCAGATCGAGTCCCACCAGGCTCAAGGTTGACTCAGCCTTCCATCCTTCCGAGGTGGATAAAATGAGAACCCAAATTGTGGGGGGCAATATGCTGACTCTAAACCGCTTTGAGAGGGCTGTAAAGCACTATAAAGCAGTATATAAGTCTTAAGTGCTATTGCTATTGCCACTACTACTTCAGGAGTTACATTGGCTTCCTATCAGCTTCTGAGTGCAATTCATTTGACTGCTTATCACCTATAAAGCCTTTGATGGCACAGTATTATTAGCAGGACTACTGATCTCCGATTATGCTTGCCTCTCCCACAGAATTCAACAGAATAGAAACGCTTCAGGTCTTTCTATGAATCAGAGCCAACTATTGGGATGCAGGAGGCATGTCATATTACCTGCCCTTTGGAACAGCAAACTGCCATCACAAGCGCTCCACCCAAATCTGAATGGCCCTGATGCTATTGGCTTTCCATAATGGCTTGGCTTTCCCCATGAGCGCTGGATTGGGATATTAGCAGTTTAGAATTCCGAACTTGCTGTATTCTATCCTGAGCCTTGATTTAGGCTGTGTGGTTGTGGTTTGTCTTTTTTGGTTAGCTTGAATTTTTTTTTTAAATCTTTCATTCATCCACCAGAGACGCATTTGTGAGTGGTGGCTGTGCAAAGAGCTTACATAAATAAATCTATAAGCATTCTGCAAATTGTGACACAAGGGTAATCAAATAGCTACAGGTTACCCAAAATCTGATAGCACCTTTTCCAATCTGCTCGGATCAAGGAGGCTTTAAATTATCCACACCTATCAGGTGGCAACAGCCTTGTTGTACATTCAATCACTCTTCTGCTAAATCTTCAATCAATTACCAAGTTTGTTACAAATTTTATTTTTTTTATTGAGCCACAGAACTGTATCCTATATCAATAAAGGAGCATATTTATAGCTCAAGGTTGACATGAGGGATCCTTGATGCTCTCTGAGCTTGGTTGTTTTTTTGCAGCCATTTCATTACCCAAACTAGGTAACATCATGTTACAACTTTATGGAGGTTGCAGTGCATTTGGTTCCCCACTAGGGGACTCCCTTATAACACCTTCAAAAATCTGCAGCACTATCGAAAGTATAATACCTTAATTTTCCCCATTCCTGCTTTAATTTGTCTATCAGTTTTGTAATCTCTGGCAGACAACTCTGCAGCATTTTCCAATACCGAATATTCTGTTCAAATGTGTCAATACCCATCAGGGCCTTCTCCACTTCACTTTTTATGTTAAGTTAAACATGTACTCCACGCACTGACAGAAAGAAATCTGTTTTGCCGCCAGGCCTCGAGCACCATCTTTATTTCTCAAAATGTGTCAGGGCTTCAAATGAGCCCCTAAAACTTCTTTACAAAAGCCAAAAGTCACTGGTTTGTTTAAAAGTATCCAGTGAAAGGATAAAGACAAAGATCTCTATAGGTTTCTTCTGAACTCCAGCATCTAAGCAGGCTTTCCCTAGGCCAGGGGTGTCAAACTCAGGGCCCATGGGTTGGATCCGGCCTTCAGGGTGCTAAGATCTGGCCTGTGGCATCACCCTGGAAACCGTGAAGGATCAGTGCCTTGACTAGCGAAAATGGAGCCCTCATGAGTTCTGTTTTCAGCTATGAGGGCCTCCTGCAACCCTATGCCAGTTAAAATGGAGCTTGGGGATGACGTGTACTGGCAGAGGGCTGCAGGAAGCTGTTGCAGCCTAAAATGGAGCTGGGGAGGCCGCGTGGAGCCCCCCACAAGCTTCGTTTTTGCTGGCAGAGGGCTGTGGGGGGCTGTTGCAGTTGAAAACAGCTCAGGAGCCTCTTTTCACTGGCAGAGCACCTGGGCCACCACAGGCGCCCCTGACACAAGTGATGTCAAGCTGGCCATGCCCACTCTGGCCACACCCATCCTGGCTCCCAAAGGTCAAACGCCCCTGATGCGCCCGTCCTTCAATGAAATTGAATTTGACACCCCTGCCCTAGACCATGGCCTCAATTACAGACTTACCTGCTCCTATCAATGAGATCTGATCCTTTCTCTCATTTCAGGCCTAGTCATCCAATAGTTTGCTACTCTCAGGGGTGGAAAAGCAAGTGCCGTCCAGATGTAAACCTTCACCTCCCAACACCTTCATGGGTGATGTGAAGGATGCTGGAAGTTATACTTCCAAGTTCTTCATCTATGTTCTGTCCTCCAGTATTCCTGCTTATCCTCTGAGAGACCATCTTTCAGACCTCATTCCCTTAAGAGTCTCACCACTATTACAGTCCTAGAAGTCGCACTAACCAGTTCTTGTAAACTTAAGGAACGTTTTGATTATTTAGAGTAGACACTTCTAAGTAAGCAAATTAGAGGAGACTGTTGTGTTTCTAGTAACTGGTACATTCCATTAAAAAAAAATCTACAAGGGTTGAGAATATTCAAGATGCACAGTCCACAACAGTTGCACTTTAACTTCACAACAATACTACATTGTGTGAGGGTTCAGCATTGATTTGTTTGGCTTTGAATTCAGAAAATAGTTCCCGTTCTTGCCAACAGTTGGAATTAACATAGCAGAGCTAACTGCTATTGCAGCCAATTATTTCTACTGCTACAATAGCCAATTGCATTTTTTTCCTGAAAATAATTAAACTGCCCTTTTAATGGTAACAAACAATACCTTTTGTGAACAAAGGCATATGCCTTTTGTACCTTTTGATTACTTGAGCTTTAGAGCAAAACGGTTACAAGGGCTGCCACCTAAATCTTCAGTGTTATCGCAGTGCTGTTTTCCAAAATATATTACATTAAAGAATTAGATTTGCAGTTGCATTGCTAAAGCTTAATCCTAGTTGTACAGACTAGAGAGAAGCTGATTGGTTTTTTTTTTTTTTTGGCAGAAAGTAGTTTTGGCTGAAAGGAAAGGGTTTTTGTATTTCATAGCCATTTTCCTTCCATATTTTACAGATAGTCTTTGACTTATAACTATTTTTTTTAGTGACCGTTCAAAGTTACAATGGCATTGAAAAAAAGTAATTTATGACTGATCTTCACATTCACAACTGTTATGGCAACCTCACCGTCATGATAATTCAGGCTGTTGGCAACTGGAAGGTGTTTATGATAGTTTCAGCATCCCAAAGTTACGTTACGATTGTCATTGCAATGTCCTCAGCCAGCTTCTGATAAGCGAACTAATGATCACATGATTTACATAACAACTTCAGTGATTCACTTAACAACCATGGCAAAAAAGATTATAAATTTGGGTGTGACTCACTTAACAACTCCCTTGCTTAGCAATGCCAATTCTGGTCCCAATTCTGGTCATAAGTTGAGGACTACCCATATTGCAATTTGTTCTCCATCAATAGGATAGTACTTCATGAACAGAATGAAGTGAATAGGTATGCCATGCCCTATTGGAATTGTATGAGAAGGATAATTCAGTTGAAGAGATGGCATCCATCTACTGATTTATGTACCTAGTAACTAGACTTTGTGTTTTTTCCCCATTTACTTCCCTGCCCCTTAAATTGCTCTACAACAGGGGTGTCAAAGTCGTGTCATCACAGCAACATCATGTGACATATTGGAACTCCCCCCCTCACTAAACCGGGCAGTGGCGTGGCCAGCACGTGATGCATTCGGCCCACAGGCTGCAAGTTTGACATCCCTGCTCTACAAGGCAAAGGTATTAATCAAATTGGGGAAGGAATGCAAAGACCTGTGACAGGCCCAAAACTTTTCTGCTGTTTGTTGCACTTTAAATATCTCCATGAGAAAAACTGTCTTGTAGCATATGAATATGCTGAATTATTTAACTTTCCAGAATGTACACGTAAGATATTTACATCCATCTTTGCAGCTGAGGTAATAAAGTTACAAGATAAATCACCTTGTTGTGTGTGCCTCACTTTCCTACTTAAATTGCCCAGCTGGTGGTAGTAGTGTACCACTGAAGCACTCTCTTAAAGGAAAAGAGGAAGACACCTTCCTGGTCATTTGGTTATTGTCCTATTAAATCCCAATT